ACATCATCAATTAAGGTGACATCAAACATCTAAATGGGTCTGAGTGACGCACTATGGCTCCACCACCCACAACCCACAGAGTCATATGAATACCCTGAGACTCTCATCATTGACATTTTTAGTCAAAAATTTCCCAGATCTAGCAAAAACTTTCTTCCCCCCACAACTGCTGGCTGCCTAGTCACTACCTTTGTCCAGAGCTGGCAAACAAGCCTGGTGTTGTTCCTGATGCCCAGGTCCCAGGCTGGCAGGGATCCAGGCCCTAGGATGTAAGCCTTCCCTGTCACAGGACAGAGAGGAAAGAGAGGAAGTGATATGCAGGGCCAAGGCACTCCTCTCTCTAGTCGTTCCTCAGTATCCCCTGCTCCACAGCAGCCCAGCAACACTGTGCTATGGGTGACTTCATCTCTCATACCTCTGTCTCTCACAGCTTCTGCACAGCTGCGGCTTTTCTTGGCCCCACTCTTTGCCCCTCTCCAGCCCTCCCTGAGCCTTTCCCATGGGGTGCCTCCTTCACCCTGACACCCTGGAACTCAAGGCTGTGGTCCTGAGGAAAGCTCAGTGGTGTCCACCTCCTTTGCATGGACCTGTGGCACAGCTGCCTGACTCAGCCTTGCCACCTCCATGTCTTTGGGGAGTCCCTGGACAGATCCTGAATTTCAAGAGCAGGAATGGGTTACTCTCTTAGAAGGTCACACCAGTGGACCAGGTGCCTGATGGCTGCTGGATACAGACAGATCCATCTCTCCCTAAGCTTTCAGAAACACCTGGAGCAAGGGTCAGCTCTCAGAAGCAGTTCTCCAAAAGACTATGAACTTCAAAGCACCAACCACGTAAACCAAACCATGATGTTTTTCACCCTCTCTAAATCCACAAAAAAGAGGAGGGGAGGAAAGCAGGGGAAGACTGGGGAGCAAAATCAGCATGAAACGGAAGTTGGTTCTCATCTAGAAGACAGGCCATCAACAAATGTGTATGCCAGGTGCTTACACAGCACACGGGCTGTGTTCACATGTGCACAGACACATGCATGCGTGTGTCAGCAGTAGCCTTTCCCATTCCCCCATCTATTATTTGGCCAGTGAAAGTCATAGAGAGGAGGGAGAATGTCCAGTGTGGCCCCTCCCTGGCCTGCTCTCCCTAAGCAGCCACCTCACGAGTGCAACTCTGACCCACAACACTAGAAGGTGGAGCGGAACACCCCCACCTCCACCCCACCACCACCCTGTCCCACCCAGCTTAGTGATCCCATCCTGGGACATGGACGAAAGCGTGAAATGGTTGCAACAGGGATGAGTCAAAGGAAGTAGGCACGCGGGGAGGTGGTGGGGGATTTCGGAGGGAGAGCAGGTGGCACACACCCCTACCCTCCCCCCATGCCCCTCCCATACCACACACACATGCATGCACCCTGCACACACATCCCCAGCACATCCCTTCAGAGCAAGAAGAACAACAGGCAGGACACAGAAGGCTCTGGGGACAGGCAAGGCCAGTGTGGACGGGCATGAAGCCAGAACAGAACTTCTGAAGGAAACGGGGATGAGGAGGAAGTGGAGGAGGGGAAAGGCCACAGCAGAGCCAGCCTGGCCAGGGACAGGGGCAAGTGTACCCTGTGTGGTCACCAGACTGGGAGCCCCACAAGCAGAGATGCTGCTGACATCCTGGCTAAGAGGTGGGAGACAGGGTCAGAGGAGATCAGTGAGAGAGCAGCAGAAGTGGGGGATAGAGATGAGGAAGCAGGAATCAGGCCAGAGAGCACTGGAAGGGCTGGGCAGCCAGTACCAGGCCACCACTGGGGAGGAGTCTAAGGTGCCCTTCCAGCAAGGAATGGGGCTGTTGCCAGCCCATCCGGAGTCTTTGTGTAATTTTTCAAAGGTGCCTGCCCCTTTCCTTAGGCACCTTTAAAAATGTTACACTCGTTTTATTAGAAGACATTTTCTTTGCTACCTACAGAATCATTTTAGTGATAAATATTCCAATATCCATTGCAATGGCACCCTTATGCAGTGTACAACCTCCACAGCTATCCAGGGTGGGCCTGGTGGGGAAGTAGCAGGCAGGGGTCTGCCTGGATACCAGGGAGAAGACAGGATGACTTCTCCCTGCCCTGACTACTAGCTGAATTTGCAGAGATGGCTTCGCTCGGGAAGAAGGGGAAGACGTGGGTGAGGGGGCCCTGGGTGTTTAAGGGAACCGCCAGGAAGCACAGACAAGAGTTGTGCAGCTTGGGATATGGGATCTCGGGAAGAACTGAGAGTGCAGGTTCTTTCCTGTCCGTGGGATCTGCTAAACCCAGTGCCTAGGGACAAGGAGACCGTTCAAAGACCGGGCCTCTCCAGCATCTTCAAGTATCTCATTCAACACTCAGAGAGCATCCCGTCCCCTCTTGCAGGAGACAGGACTTCACTATCCCTCCTCTCACCCAGGGCCTAGGGCTGGGGTGTCCAGCAAGGATGGCAAAGATGGGCCAGAGGGCGGCAGGGAGAGTGAGGGAGGCTGAGAGCGAGCTCACCTTCTGCGCGCCGAGAAGGCGCTGCAGTAACATGAAACATTAGGCCACATGACCTCCCCTCCGGCCTTAGCGTGCCTACACATCTGCACAGAGAAGGAGAAGAGGTTGAGAGCAGAAAGTAGCAGCACAGCACAGAACAAACTCAAACAGCTGTGGTGGGCAGGGAGACAGACAGCAAAGGAGGGAAGGAGAGAGAAGATGGGACAGCAGGAGGAGAGAGGGGTGGGAGGGAGATGAGCACGGTGAGACTGGGGGCGGGGGAACCTCCCATCATGCACTTCAAGTCGGGTCATTCAGATGCCATGCAGAGAATGTGACAACCCCACAGACCAAAGTCGCAAAGGTTCTATGGCCAGGGTAATACTGTGCTTATTTTCTGGGGTCCTGCCTACGAGGGGGACAGACATCTGCTGCCTGAGCTTTGCTTGTAATGAAAGCATTCAAATCTTTAACTCCTGCAGTGGGAATGGGGTCTTGTGTAGAGTGGAACCTGTACAACTGGACCTTGATCTCAGACCTTCCTGAGCAAATGTGGGTTAGGACACAAGAAGGGGCTCCCAGCTGCCCACCTCCTCTCTCCCCCTTCCCCCAGGGGCCATGCTTATTTATGCCTGGGAACACAGTGTATAGGAACCACCTGGGAATTCCAGGCAGGATACAGGAGAAAGCTGACTTGTCAAATCAAGCCCAGGAGCGGGAAAAGGGGAAGAGTTTATGATGTCTTTCCAAAATGGGTAAGTGAAGAGGGGAGCTGTCTCCCCAGAACTGCCTCCCAGGGAAGCTCAGGTGCTGTGAAGCATGGGGGAGGGGGAGCTTCAGCCCACTCCTCTCACACCCAGGATCCAGGCTGATCTCACACACACAGCCCTCCCTACGTAGGCCAGGCAGCTGGTTCCAGAGAAAGCGAGCTTTTCCCTAATCTTCTTAAGAACAGGAGAGAGGAAGATGAGAGATTGCGGAGGTGGGGTGTGGGAGAAGAGCCAAGCAAGAACTCCAGAACAAGGACAGACCGTCCAGATGCCCGCCCTGGGGCAGGGTGGGTGGGGGGAGGGAGGCATGGCTGGGCATGGCATGGGGTGCACTGGGCGTGGGAGGAGCAGGGGCCCCAGGTACCTTCTGGGCTCCGGAGAAGGCATGGTAGAAGCTGGACACGTAAGTCATGATGGCTTTCTCATCAGGCCGGGCAGTTCCAACAATGTCTGTCAAGAAAGATGTGTGGTTAAAGCCAGCTGGTAAGCACAAGGCACCATGTGGTCACCTTGCCAAAACATGGAGCCTGAAGCTGGCCAGCCTCCAGCATCAATGCCACTAGGAGGAACACCAGATGTAGAGGAATGAGGGAGACAATACCCCAGAGTAAGGGCCAAGCCACAGGCAGCAGGCCCCGCTTCTAAGAAACCCAGATTCTATGGCAGGAGTGAAAGGGGGGAAAGGAGGAGGGAGGCTGTGGGTTAAAAAAGAAGTATAAACCTGCCATGTGTGGACTTCATTTGCCTCCTGATTAACACAAACCAACTCTCAAGGTCATTTTTTAAATGACGGAAATTTGATTATGAACTGGGCAATAGACATAATCAAAGAATTATTGTCAGTTTGCTAGATGTGAAAATCAATTTATGGCCACATGAGAAAATACCCACATTTTTAAGGAATGTATCTGGAAGAAGATAGTGGTGACATGATGTGCTATCTGAGATTTAATATATTTCACTGAAGAAAACAAAAAAAAAAAAGGAAAAAGGAAAAAGTGACAAAAATCTCAAGAATCTTATTTGGATGATGGCTATACAAGAGCTCATTATATACTCATGCTTCTGTTCATGCATGAAAATTTTCTGAATGATATTTTAAATGCACTTGTGCCAGGTATAGTGGTTTACCCATGCAATCCCAGTTACTTGGGAGGCAGAAGTAGGAGGATGGCAGTTGGGAAAAGTTACAGAGATCCCCTGTCTCAAAAGCAAACTAGAAACAAAAGGACTGGGGGCATGGCTCAAGTGGTAGAGCACTTACCTACCCAGAGTTCAAATCCCAGTACTGCTCCCCTCTCCCCCAGAAAAAGCCATCAGTGCAGGGGCAGAAAGCAGAGGGGAGGGAGGCAGCCTCAGACCACTCATAGCCTCTTTCCTAGAGCATACATACTGCACAATGGTATCTGAGCAGAAGGGGCCAAGGAGGGCCCAGAGAGAAAGTGTCCATGGGCACGGGCTTCTCCCAAGTGACAAGGGCAGACATAGGGACAAGAGGATCTGCCTGATCCTAGCCTCAAGGCCCATGGTCCTTCTCTGTTCCCAGATGCTTCCCTTTCCTTCCTTTCCTTTCCCTTCCCTTCCCTTCCTTCCCCTGGCGAGCTCAGCCCCACCATCACAGCTGCTCTGCAGGCAAGAGGTGGGTTTAGGGGCCAGGAAGCACTGAGTTTCAGGCCCCAGGACCAGGTGTCAAACCCTGAACCTGTCCCAATCCAGGTGGCCTAGCTAGCAGAGCCTGGGACACACGTGTCAACATGACACAGAAACCCCCATATTAACGTGGTCCCTTCCTTCCCTACCAGGCATGGGAGCCACATCCTCTGGCTGGGATCTGTTGAGCAAGCAGGAGACTCAGGGGCTGGGAGCTTTGGAGAAGTCCAGCCAGGGCTCTTTGGCGCCCCCCTCAGAAGGCAGGAGGAAGGGCACGTCCCCAAGGGTTACAAGAATGAGGGCAGCAAGAGCAAGCATCACACCCAGTCATGTGGTGATGCCACACTGTGCAGCCTAAGGACCACCCAGAGCTCAGAGGGATAGGACGGTGCATCCCACAGGGCACCTCTTGGCCAGGAGATCTGCCACCCCAAAGTGTGAGCAGGAGCTAGGCCCAATGAGAACACTCCAGCCCCACCCACCTCCACACCCACTGCCCAAACTCCCAAAGATGAAAGCATCCACAGGCCACATGGTCCAGACAGCCCAAAGCCCCTGTGGTACCAGCCAGCACCCCTTCCTCCAAACCACAGGGAGTTGTGGAATCCTGACTGGCAGGTGACCCCAGGCTCCTCAAACGAGGTCCAGCAGGGGAAGAGCTGGAGGCATGGAAGGAAAGTGCCTTTACCTTCTGCGTCCAGCATCTTGGGAATATCCAGGTACTTCTCTGCCACATCGAAGGCCGTGTTCAAGTTTGTGAGTGGATCATCCTGGAAAGAAGAGGAGAAAGTTGTGACAAGTCAAAGCCTACTCCTGCTGCTGGTCACCACAACTGAGGGCAAGAGGGACTCTCTACCAGCCCTTCTCACACTGGACCCCAGAGGGCAGCTCTAGGTGAAGAAGGCTGGCCTCACCGCCAGGGATCACAGGCTGCAGGTTTAAAACTTTTTCCTCCTCAAGTTTCTGTTTCCCCAATGGGGAAATGGGGCAAAGAATACTGGCCTACAGCTAAAATTGCTAAGAAATGCATGCTGGGAGCAAGGTACCATCAGACCTGGCTTCGGGTTTTAGCTCTGCCACCAGCCAGTGGGACTTTTAGATGAGTGACCTAGACTCAGTTTCCCCATCTGTAACTCAAGAGTTGGGTTAGGAGTTCTTAACTAGTCAGGAATTAGAGCTGCAGCCTCTGCTGCTCCCATTCCATGAAATTCTGGAGATCCTTCAGTAGTGCAGCTTTCTGACTCTTTGTCTCTTGTCACCTTTTTGAGAAAACTTAGTGGGGGCTGGCGACCACATGGAGAAATGGGGTCCTTATGCACTGGACTAATGCAGATATAGACTGGGGTGTAGAGAACAAGATGGTGGGTCCTCAAAAAAGTAAACACAGAATGACCACACAGTCCTGCAAGACCATTCTGGGCCTCCAAGAGCTACTTGTACACTCAAGTCCATAGTCACATTATTCACAATAGCCAAAAAGTGGGAGCCAGGTGGCCGCCAAAGGAGGAACAGACAAGTAAAATGGCACACAGCCTTAAAAAGAGGGAAATTCTGACATACACTACAATAGGAATGAATCCTGAGGATGCTATTTTACGTGAACTATGCCAGGCACAAAAGGGCAAATTCTGGAAGATTCTATTTGTCCCAGGTACCCAGAGTATCTCAGAGAGACAGAAAGGTGCCAGGGGTGTGGAGTCCAGGAGTCATTGTTTAATGGGTACAATGCTTCAGTTTTGCAAGATGAAGAGTTCTGGAGATGGATGGTGGTGACCATGATACAACACTGTGAAAGTATGTAATACCACTGAATTGCACACTTAAAAATAGTTGAAATGGCAAATTTTGTTATGTGAATTTGGCCATAATTTTTTTAAAGAATTTAAATGTGTGTGGAGGAGGGAAAAAAACCCTTAGTGAGAAGAGTTCCCTGCTGGGTCACCCATTTCCTTGAGGGTTCCCAAATTAACCTAAGCAAGCTGGTTTTGCCAGTCCAGACTCCATCTGCCTGTTTGCTCAAGCGAAAAGCAGAGGATAACAAGGGGATAGATACATGTATTTGGGACATTTTCAGGAGGAAACTGCTCAAAATAGAGCAAGTAGAGGCTTGCTGGGCAAGTCTGACAGTAGCCAGAATGGTAAGAAACAGTGACAAGCAGTGAGGGTCATTTCCATCCGGGCATGACCGGGCATAGTAGAGGCCAGGGTGCAGGCCCTAAGTGCACCCCACCTACCCCAGGGACTGCCAGGGGCCTGCCTATCCCACAGCCAGTGTGGGGAGGAAAAGCTTCCCAGTAGGAACTCTTGGGCTCTCTGCCCTGTTCCCAAGAGCCAGGGTGCTCTGGCAACCTGGATGTTCTCAGAAGTATTCACAGTTCCCCGGGCCCACGTCTACACAGTGATTCAGGCTGGATCTCACTGATGGTACTAAGCTAAAAAGAAGGGGAGACAGAGACACAGCCAAACAGAGAGACATGAGCAGGGATAAGCAGACAGACAGAAAGGGACAGAGCGCTAGCAAGGTACCAGACACCATCTCCTGGATTCTCACCTCTCAAAGGGCTGAGGATCCAAGAGCTTCTAGAATGGGGTGGAGGTCATTCAGTTCAGGCCCCACTCAACAAGGGGATGGGCAACGGCTGTGCACTATCTGGGCGCTGCCACCCTACCACGCACATGTGTGTGCTGCTACCAAGTGCATCAGCTCAACAGGAGGAGGTATGCAATGGTGTTTTCCAAAGAAAATGCTGTAGCTTCCAGGATGTCGCACCTTGCCCCCGATGGTTTTGGCTGCATAACTTCCATACAGGCCAGGGGTTCTCAAATGGGCTCTCTTTGCCTTGCAAAGCAACTAAGCTAGTGGGCTGGGGTCTCCCATTACCCTAAGAGGTTAGTATGGGGAAGGCTGGTCCTTGGTGTTTACACAGACTAGATACAGTCACACGCAAGAGAGGGCCAGGGCTCTTCTTCAGCAGATGGGTCCTTCCAGGTGGGCAGAGGCCCCAGATCTGAGCTTCAGGGGACTGGAGGGTAGGAATCTGTCCTTTCCTCCCTCATGAATCCTTTTTAGTAGCTTGCTCACTGTTACCCCAAAATAGAAGGCTGCCACCACCATGAGATGCCAGAGTAGCTCTTGCACTGGCTATACCAAGCCTTGTTGGTCACTGGTTAGCAAGAGGCCTTTCCTGAGGTATAGGCAAGGTGGTGCCTGTATTGGACATGGTGCTTCCAGGTGACAGGGTCAAATGGAGATATGGGAGACCCATCACTCCTAGAAGCACCCTTGCCGGGGGATTTGAGCAGGAACAGGTGATATTCCAATTGCAATTCTATTCCAGATCACCAACTGGGGGCTTGGGAGGGCCCTAAGGCTGGCCTTTCCCAAGATGCCTCCTAGCCCTGGTTGGGCTGAGATGGTGAATGTGGTAAAAATGGTCCAGGGCAGGCCTCACCAAGGTACAGACCAGTGTCTTTTAACCAGCACAGACACCAAGAACCACCACAAAGCTAGAAACAACCCTACCTCATCAGCCCCTCAACACACGCCTGCTCAAGAACATCATTCAACAGTGTCATGTCAAAAGTACAAATGAAGATGACACGATGGCTCTAAATGCAGTTCCAGCTATTAAGGAGGCAAGAGGATTGCTTAAGCTCCCAGCCTGAGCAACACAGCCTGAGCAGCACAGTGAGCCCCACAACCATCTCAAAAGCACAAGTGAAAACAAGCAGCAACAAAGGAAACCAAACCTACCAGTGGGATGGCCTATCCAAGACTGCACAGCAGGTCAGGGACAAGGTTGGGCTAAAATGTCTCATCCCCACCTTATGAAACCAGAAACAACAGAAGGGAGAAATGGTAGTTTTCCTGGTGGACTGTGTACATGCGTGGGTACCATGTTGAGCACATTGGGTAAGGAGGCAGCCCTAACAGGGAAAGTGTTTTTCTGCTCACTTCCAGATGGGGCTCTGCCTGGGTGTCCTGCAAGGCCACCACCACTCAGGGTGGGCGCTGGGTTCTCAGAGCAATGACCCTGTCTGCCCTCCTCCAGCCTGTCCCCATCCTTCAGGGACCAGTAGGGCAGAGGCTGGAAGCACACGTACCTTCCGCAGCTTCCCGTAGTCAATCAGCTCAGGCCGGTGTCGGTGAATCAAGGCACAAAAGCCAAGGCCGTCCTTCCAACTGCCAGAGGAGAAAGAGGGTGGGGCAAGCTGGTAAGTGAGGCCCAAGGTAGAGTGGGGGCACCCAAGTACCAACCGAGTGCAGAGTGGCACATGGAGCCTCCTTTATTCTGAAGATGAATACCTAATTCTTCTAAGCAGAATTTAGAAGACCGGTGAAAGGAGTATTTCTGCTTGCCACAATCCCAGGCACAGGGTCAAGCCTTAGTGGGGGCTGGCAGGTTGAGAAAAACCTGTCAAATCAATCCTCCCCCACCAAGGTCATGGCCCTAGTCTGCAGGTCTGGAGCCCCAGGCTGGGATTGGATCCCCTCCTTGGAGATCTTCTCAGTACCATAAACATCAACCAAAGATATATCAGGCAGGGGTCATGACCAAGACATTGCAGGCAAGGAGACAGAAATTTAAAGGGACAGGAACACTCTTTCCCTAGAAAAGCCACTCTTTCCTTCAAGGGCCCAAACTCTGTTCTAGAACAGAGACTGGCCAGCCAAGGCTTGAAGGAGGCAGGCTAGCATCTGCAGGAATCCCAGCCCCTGCTACTCACCTTATATGGAAGTTCTGGATATTGACGTTTTTATAAGGAGCCGTCTTCCTCTGACACCACAGAAGCAGCCCTTCCTTGGCTGACGTCTCTGTGGGGAAGGGGACAGGGAGAAGTCAACGGGCTGACCCAAGGGAAGGAGGCCCTGCTGTGACCTCTAGAGTCTGTGACAAAGGGAAGGGAAGGAGAGAAGCAGCCCAGGCCATCACCTCTATTTGCTTGGCAAGCTAGGAAGTAAGCTAGCCACACTATACATTGAAATTTGGAAACAGCAGCGGCCTTTTAGATTTTCAGGAGTATCTTCCCAACTCCTTTCTATTCAAAGAAGCTATAGCGACACAAGATCAGCTGGCAACAAAAAAGGCAGCTGCTCAGGAGGAGTCTGAATAGTCTGGGACGTCTACATGACCAGGAGCCTAACAGGAGATTATGCAGCCTAAAGAGTGCGTACAACCGGGCAGGAAGAAAGCGTGAGGATTCCTACTCAGGCTTCATGATCATCTGAAAAATAAGTATTCCTTGTATTTACAGCATGGCTCAGTACTGGTGCCTTCAGTTGCTCTGTGTGTGCAGCAGTCAGGTATTTGTAAGGTAAGGCAGACATCTGAGAGGACCCAGGACGGCACCCAGCTCCAAAGGCTGCAAACCTCACTGCCCCCTTGTGTTCACATCTGTGAATTGCAGGTTACAGTACCCAGTGAAGCAGCCTCATAGCTGATCTCATTTTTTTCAACTCACAAAGTGAACTTATAAAAGATGCTAAATGATTCCTACAAAGATTATAACAATTCAGGCATGAGAGACAAAAAAGTTGGCAAATCTAGCATTTCTATTTATTCAAGCTCTTTTCAGCTACATATAATCAGATTAAAATAATGTCAATTTAATTTGAGTTAACAAGAACTCTACACACAAAAAAATAAAAAGCATCAAGAATGCTATTTGAATAGGTTTACATCCACTATCACTAACAAGAGCCTAACACCCTAAGAAACTATTACGGGCCTCATTTCAACCACTCCAGCCCTAAATGTCCAGAATCTACAAAAAAAACCTTAGACCTTAACACTGCTGTATTACAAAGTGTCAAACCAGGTTTATATAACAAAGCAACATAAGTCACACTGTCTTGCTTTTTTTTTTTTTGGTGGGACTGGGTTTTGAATTCAGCGCTTCATGCTTGCAAGCAGGCACTTTACTGTTTGAGCCATGCCTCCAGTACATTTTGTTCTGGTTATTTTGGGGGTGGGGGGTGGGGGGGAGTCTCGTGAGCAGCCTGGGATGCTTTAGAACCACGATCCTCCAGATCTCAGACTCCAAGTAGCCAGGATTATAGGTGTGAGCTACTGGCACCTGGTCCTCATTGTTTATATTAAGAAATTCCTTTCAAGATTCCTATATTTTAAAATGAATTTAAAATATTTTTAAAATATCTCATCTTTTAAAAATGTTTTGGTATATGTGTTTTTGACATGCAACACAGCAATACCAAATATTTTAATATAAATATCTACATATCAGAAATAAACCTCAAATATGGCTGGAGAATAGAATCAAGTTTACAGGGATTACTGACTGTCCCAGATCATGGTGGCCCCGGCAGATCTGTAAAGCGGCCACAAGAGGGCGCCGTAAGCGCAAAGTGGTGGGGCAGCTCTTCCTCCCTGTTTCCTTACCCTTTCCAGAGAGCCAGGTGGAGCTTGAGCTTTAGCAAAGTGGGGAGTTTCTCTGGAGCCAGCATATCCATAGGTTATTTGAAATCTTTTTATTTGTTTGACATAGGTGTTTACTGCTATAAACTTCTCTCTTATTGCTCATTTTATTGCATCCCATAAGTTTTGATACAATACACCTGTAGGAAAAAGCACCTGAAATAGTTCTTATTTCTTTCTACACAGAACAGCAAATGGAGGCCCAGAAAGGGGGAAGAAGCCCGGGATGTGGCCTGTGATCAAGCGTCACTGCCCCAGGTGAAAGAGCTCCCCTGGCTGAGCCCAGGGAGGAAGGGAGATGGTGAAGGCAGTGGAGAGGTGAGAGCTTGGGAAGACACAGAAGGAAGCAGAAACCCACCTTCCACGGAGATGTCCTGGATGGCAAATCGAAGGATGATTGTCCAGATCATGCCCAGAGTCATTTTCACGTTCCCGTCCACAATTTCTACAGAAGTAGCAGCAGGACATGTTAGGCGGGGTGCAGCAGGGCAGAATGAGCCTCCTCAGAGCTCCTACCTAACTCATGTGCCACCTAAGAGCTGGACGCCACAGAGCCCTGCTTCTAGAGGAAGAGGGGATTTTTATTCTTATGTGTTTAGTTTTGTGCTAGGGTACACGCACTACCTCTGAGCTACACCCCAGTCCCTACTAGGGAAGTTTTTAAAAATGGGTGCAACCCACCAAGACAGGAGCCAGGAGAGAAGTCTATTTGGGGCACAAGGAAGGTATACGTGATTCTACTTGGGGACAATGGGTATGTCAGGAAAGGTGACCAGAGAAGGGTTGCCTTAAACACCTGTCAGGTGGTCACCAGCTTGACAGGCAACAGGGTTTGGATTTCAAGCCATTTCTAATGTGCTGCAACCCCATGAGCTGGGGGCCTCTGGGCAATCACAGCTCTCAAAATAGCCACCCCACACACAGAGAGGCAGTGTGAGCAGCAGAAAACTTGAGAGTTTTCTAGAATGTCTTTGTGAGCGATCTGCTGTAACTCACAAAGCAACCTCCTTATGCCAAGAGATGAGCATTAAAATAGATTTTTGTTTTTAAATCATACAACGTCAAGATCACAACTCAGAGATTATGTGCTACATTTAGTCTAAACAGCAGTTTTTAGATTAAATGCTACAAATTCTATTGAATTTTTTTTTTTTTTTTCTAAACAGGCTTAGAGGCAGGGAATACCAACACAAATAAGCCCTGATTTTAAGGAGCCTGAGACATGGAGGGGTTTTTTGTTGTTGTTGTTGTTGCTTTTGGTGGGACTAGGGTTTGAACTCAGGGCTATGTGCTTGCAGAGCAGGTAGTTATTTTGGAGACAGGATCTCTCGAACTATTTGCCCAGGCTGGCCTCCAACCATGATCCTCCTGATTTCAGCCTCCCAAGTACCTAGGATTACATGTGTGAGCCACTGGCACCTGGTCTTGGTGGCTGAACAGGTGAAGCTCAAATCAGACTTTCCTTCTCCTGTTGTTTGCACACCAGGCGACAGTAGCCTGACCCATGGGAAGGTGCTCTCAAATGAAAGCAGCTAACCAAGGACTATCTTTTTTTTTTCTTCCCTCCCGCAGCACTAGTTTGAGGGGAGATGTAACAGATGCATGAGAAGAAAAGGAGTCATTTCGAGGGAGTTCTGACTCCATTAGACCAGGTCCACTGGGGTTTGCGTCCCACACGTTCCTTAACCAGAATGGATTCCAAGAAGAACGCCATGCCCTCCCTCCAAGGCAAGGGCCAAACTGCACGCGGCTCTACGAACAGCAGGGTTCAAAAAGCAGACTGGTGTGCAGCCACAGATGCTTCTGGAGGGCAAGCAACCCCACTGAGTCTGTGTGGGGGTGCTGGGCCAAAGAGACCAGAGTCTACTTAGGACACGGGACAGGATGTGACTCTTCCTGCTAACACCAGATACCAGTGGGCACAGTCCCTTGTTGGGTTAGAAAGACAGCCACGGCAGTATACAACCGTTTTCATTAACACAGCCGATGCTTTGCAGGCATGCTGAAGGGAGGGAAAATCACCATTAGATTCAGCGCGTAAGCCACGCCAGCGGCTCACACCTGAAATCCTAGCTCATCAGGAAGTGGAGATCGGGAGGATCTCTGTTCGAGCCCAGCCAGGGCAAAAAGTTCTTAAGACTCCAACTAAACCAATAAAAGCAGGGTGTGGTGGCACATGCCCCGTCCCAGCTACAAGGGAACAGTAAGTAGGAGGGTCACGGACCACCTGAGCATAAGTGAGGCCTGATCCCAAAGATAACTAAAGCAAAAAGGGCTAGAGGAGCGGCTCAAGAGGTAGAACACCTGCCTAGCAAGCATGAGGCCTGAGTTCAAACCCTACAACCACCAAAAAAAAAAGAACCAGTTCATAAAGCTATGACTTTTTAAAAGGTACTTTTACTTTTTTATCTGTAACTATAATGGATTAATATCTGTAACATTTAAAGAGTTTAAATTGATAAGAAAAAGTTTAAACTCTCAACAGGTAAATAGGCAAAAGAGATGAATACACACATCACAAAACATGAAATACAAATAACCAATTCAGAAGAATGTTCAATCTTGCTTAGAATCAAAGATATTTCATTTTTCCCAGCTCTTAAATTAGCAAAGCTAAAAAAAAAAAAACAAAGAAATCTTAAAAACAGACACACACCTTGGTCCTTGGTACTGGAGCTAGAAATATAAATTGGCTTTAAAAGGAAAAAAACAAAATTCTGGGAAATAAATTGGCAATTCAGAGCTAACAGCTTAGAGCTGTTGGGTTTTTGACAGTGAAATTCTATCTCAGGAATCCATCCCTGGCCTGAGAGCTGAAATGCAGAGTAAGGTTTCTGTCACAAAATGCCTATTGTTTCCTTATTTATCGTGGCCCCAAATTGGGAGCCATGTGAATTACAAAGTACAAAGGATGACTGAGTAAACCCCCAGAGCCTGTCACTCCTCTGCTCAAAACCCCCATGGCTTCCCACCCCACACAGCATGGAGGCCAGTGGGCTCCTGCTCATCCCTCCCTGCCACACTGGCCTCCCTAGATATCCAAGTGGCTTGTCCCTCCCCTCCCTCATGTCACCTCGTTGACCCTCCCCTAAGCACCCACTTCACTCCCTGCTTTATCTTTCCCCATCTGACATCCAGACATGAGTATTCTCTCTCCCCCTTCAAGAATGTGGGTCCACAGGGTCAGGATTTTTCCTGCTCTGCATTACTGCTTTTGAGTCCAGTGCAGTGCCTGGCACTGAAAACAATGCCCACCAGCACTGGCTGAATGAATGAACGAGCGCTAACAGGCACTCACACACCGTGTGAATGGCAGATATATGCAGGCCTGTCCTTGGCACCCCCGGGAACACAACAGCACTCGGTCTCTCCCAAGGCAGGCCCAGGTACAGAAGGAATGGAGCACAGCTGTGCTCACTCGGACATTAATGCAGCCGTTACACAGTGCATTCATGAGTTTTTATTGACTCAGAAAAACATCTTTATAAATGAAAGCTTATGGACAATATTTCTACTTCGTGTTTGTTGTACTGGGGTTTGAAGTAAGGGCCTCGCACTTGCTAAGCAGGTGCTTTACCTCTTGAGCACCGTTCTGCTTTAGAATATTTTTCAGACAGGGTCTTGAGTTTTTGCTCAGAGACTTGGACCATGACCCGCCTACTTATGTCTTCTGGGTAGCTGGGATGACAGGCACACATCATCATGCCAGACTTATTGGTTGGGATGGTAGGGTATTAATAACCTTTTGCCTGGGCTGGCCTTAAACCACCATCCTTCCAATCTCCATCTTCCAGGTGACTGGCATTACAGGTGTGAGCTCTTGTACTTGACAAGGGTTTAAGTTTAGAAAAAGTGGTAATCCTGCAGCTTGGCCTGCCTAGGAATGGGCAGCTATAGTGCTGGCTGCCCTGCACCTGGCCTCTCCCCTCTCTGGCCTTCACCACAGGCGAAACACTTTGGCTTCTGAGCTCAAGGCCTGCAGATCTGCCTTCCTTGGAGCTCTCCCAACAGGCAACTTCTTTTGAGGATGCCGTTCACTCTCGTCCTTCTGCAGAGCTCCCCCACCCCAGGCTGAATTCTCAGTCATAGCAAAGCAGCAGTTTTGCTCCAGCAAACAGAAGCGCCAAAGATGAACAAATGGGGTGTGTTCAATTAAGAGTCCCTGTACCACCCAGGCACATTCCTACCTGACTCCTGTCCCACCCTCAGAGAGTGACGGGAACTCAACCTAAAGGGCTCCCCTTCTGGTCCCCCAGAACAGAAGATGCCTTCTCAGGCATCACTATACAGCCAGACACCTCATCCCACAGGCAGCTCCAGGCAGGGGGCTGGCTCAGAAAGCTGGGCCCAAATAGATGGTTCCAAGGCCACAAGTGGGTGCCACAGGACAACCATGGGGTGAGATTAGCAAGGTCTGGCATGGCTGTGCAGCTGTCATTTGTGATCTACAGGGAGCTACAAAGCTACTCACATCCTGTTTGCTTGGACCATTCCTCCTCCTCCCCCCTCCAGGGATGCAGTCACCTGCTCATATTCAGAGAGCAGAATGAAAGACGTGGCACAGATCTCACATGACAGCAACTATAGGCCACCACCTCCCAGACACCACTCTGGCTACTGCACCCAGTCCCCTCCATCCTGATAGACGTTATGTCACTGAGAACACTGCCAGGCTCTCAGTACCCAAACACTAAGTGTTCCCTGCCCAAAGAGTTAAAATTGAAAAGTCCTTCTCTGGTCCCCCTTTCTGGAGAAATCACAACCATTCATCTGGACCAGGTCTCCATCCCATGAAGTCTAGACATTCTAGAACCCAGGATGGGAGAAGAAACCTCAGGGGTTGATTATAACTCCCCTATGCACTGGTTCTAGCCTCCACTGAACAGCTTTGGGAACAGGGACTACAGGATCTCCCACAGCATGGTTTTTAAGGCTCCAGATGTCGTCCAGAACCAGTCTGCCATAGACCTAGTTCTGCCCTTTTAGGGTCAACCAGAGTCCAGTCCTCATACCACATGGTAATCTTTCAAATGCTGGGGGGTAAAAAGGCTGCCTTCACTGGGCTGGTCCCCATGCGCAGCCTTCAGCAACCCAGGATGCATCACCATCAGGACTACCAGCAACACTGTGTACCCCACCTCTGGGAATGGTCATTCTAGTAATCCAACTTGCTGCCTTTTGCTTCGGATCTACCGCAGGAAACTGCATCTCATTAAAAAACAAAACCAGCGGCTTGCCATCCAGCAGGAACCTCATTGGGGTAGGTTATTTTCAGGAAGCCTCAGCCAGACACACTGGCTCAGGTGAGAGAGTGGAGAACATGTCACTTTAGGCCTGGGTTCAAGGGGCTGGGGTACCATGGCGGCCAGGTGCAGCAACCTGAACAGCAGAGTTGGTGATCAGAAGTTCCTCCAGGTGTGTCAGCTCCTGTCACTGTGCTGGGCGGGCGCAGACCTGACCTGCATTCACTGCTAAGGTGAATCGGCTGTGCAGGTTCGGTCCTGGCTCCAGCAGTGCCCAGCAATGTGGGAAGAGAGTTAGACCTCGGCCCTCCTTCCCAACACCTGGGTTGAAGCTGCTCTGTCACATAGAAGCAGTCTGCTTCAGTCTGGGATCAACTGATGACAGCCTTCCTCTTTGCAGCTTTTCTGGGCCTCTGTTTACTTAGCTGAAAAATGGGGCTGGTCATACCCACTCTGTGAGCCTGGCATGAGGGTAAGGAGGCCATGACCTAGAGAAGGCACCCTGCTGAGCTGGGCATGGGTACTAAAACGTGCTCTTTTCTTCCACCTCCCTTCCTCTTTGGTAGAGTTAAAATTTTTCTTTTTCTTTTTTTTTTTTTTTTTTTCAGTGAGTTGCCAATTCTTCCTTTCTAAAATTCTGGATTTCTGGCTTTTGAAGAACTTGAAGATTGTGCAGCACTGGACCGGTTCTCCAGCATAGCAACAATTGGTTCCATCTGTATGGTGGCTGTCCCTTTCTCAGGGTAAGCTCCTTCCAGCTCTCCAGTCCCCATCCAGCCCACATCACACCTCCTTCTCCTTCCCTGCCCTGGTGGGCATCTCAACTGCACAGCATCTTCCTTGGCTTCCCCTGCCTGAAAATGCCTGCCAAATTCCTCCCTAACAGAACGCACTGTTCTTGTCTTAAGAGACAGAGAACGTCTCCCAGCCACAAAGCAGAGTATGCACAAGTCCATCACTAAGCACCTACTGTATTTCGCTGCTAGGAGCCAGCTCACGGGCTACAGAAGATCCAGCCTCTGCCACGAGGAGCTCGCAGCTGCGGGGGTGCCAGGATCCAGTAAGGCATGGCCTACGGCCACCCCAAGCCTTAGCCTGAATTCCAGAAAGCCAGGGGTCAACCAACTTCTTCTATAAAGGGCAGGCCACATGGCCTCTGAGGTGACTACAGAATTCTGTCACGGTGGGCAGAAAGCAGCCACAGATGACACGGAAACAAGTGGGCATGGCTGTGTTCTAATGTTTACAAAAACCTGTGTCAGCTGGACTCAAGCCCACATGCTGCAGTTTGCAGACCCCTGCATTCAAGTTTCTCGATTTGACGTATCAACGTAAAACCCCTCCATTTCTAGGAGAAAGGGACTTGACAGCATTCTGCACCTATGGATCTACCAGGAGCAAGACCACCACCCTGGTGAAGGACAGACCACTCTCTGGTGTCACACAGAACTAGAGTTGAGTTCTGGCTTGGCCGCTTATGGAGGATGGGGCCTTGAGCAAGTGATTTCTCATCATAAAAGGGGGCAAAAATTAGAGCTACTCACTGCACTGCGGTGGGGATTAAGTGAGATTGCTGGTTAAAGGGCTCTGGCATAGTATTTTCCACACAGCAAGTGAGCACCACAGTACAGCCTGTGGTTGTATCTTGAATGAGTGAAGAAGAATATGTCATCTATAGCTGTCAAGCTCTGGCATCACACAGCAGGTGTCCAATAAAGGACTCGCTGAGCCCTCAGGTCATGTTAGCAAAGGGCCTGGTTAGAGTTCTCCCACCTCAAACCCTTCAGAGCCACCACAATTCATGCAGAAGTCACACTATCCTCTTCTGTTTAAGAGCATGCCAATAATGGCTTAAACAACTTTTTAAAAAGTTTTCGAAGGCATGGGAAGAGAGCCAAAAAGCTGCTTGGGAAATACTATGAAAAATGTTGCTTCACAGGCTGGGCATAGTGGCACTCATCTGTAATCCCAGCTATGTGGGGGGGCTGAGGTAGGAGGCTCAAGGTCTGAGGCTAGCCCAGACAAGAAGAACAAGACCCTACTTGAAAAATAACTTTAAAAGAAAGGGCTGGGGAAAGTAACTCAAGTGGTAAAGTACCTGTTTAGCAAAAACAAAGCCCTGAGTTCAAACTCCAGTACCACCAAAACAAAAAAAGAAAAAGCTTTTGGGGGCTATAGTCTTCCCAGGAGCCCCACCAGCTCCACCAGCCACAGAAAGCTCCCTTGCAGGCAGCAGAGTACAGTCAAGTGGAGGTGCTAAGGACCTGCTTCCAAATGCTCTAGTGATGTGCGGGCCCAGGAGTCAGGGCAGAAAGGGCCAAGGAAATTAGGCCATCCACTCCCAGGGCAGCCAGGTAGGTCTTGCTCACCTTCTGCTCCGATGGACACCAGTTTGACCCCCTTGCTGGCTATGAAATCCAAGGCTTTGTTGACATTGGAGATCTTGTGCACCCGCATCTTGCCTCTCTCTGGCTTGGCCAAGCGTTCTCCTGATTGGACCAAGAGGGAAGAAAAGGGAGGTGAGACGTGATTGTCCAGGTGCCAGGGCCACTCTCACCACACCTCATCCAAGTTGCATCCTGGGATGTGTGTGCACTGGAGTACCCCTCAGCTGCTGGAGAATGTCGCCCTGGCAGGGAATGAAGTAGAGGCAGAGTCCACTGCCTCTTCTCTTCCACTTCTCAGATCAAAACCTGCATGAATCTGCTCAATGTTCATTTATTGAGCCCCAAATATAAGCCGTGTTGGCTGGGTGGTGGGAATATGGGGATGAACAAAATACTTTCTTGCCTTTATGTAATTATAGTCCAGTAGGAGAGATGGGGCCTCAAATAAGGAAACACAAATAAATACATACAATGAACAAATACCAAGAAGGATCAGGAGGGGGAGGAAGGAATTGAGGAATGGGTAGAGAAGGCCTGAGGCTCAAAGCCAGACAGAACAGCACGTATAAAAGCCCTGAACTCTAAGACTATTTCACTAGGGGAAGGGAGTGTAGGTCACATTCTAGAGTATTTTGAAAAAGTCTCCTGGTGTTGAAATGCAGCTGCCTATAGCGCCCCCTCCCCATTTGGGAGCCACTGCTCTTGCCTGCCCTGTTACACTGCCTCCTGTGAGCACCCATGGCTCGGCTCCAAGTCAGTCCACTTCCTCCCTTCCCCACTACTCCCCACCCCCGCCCCAATCACTTGCCACTCGGGCTTCAAGGTCAGAAGCTGTAGGGAGCAGGGTGAAGGAGCTGGTTCCCCAAATACAGACTGTCGGGGTGGGGAGAGGGGAAGCATGTGTCTAAGTGCTACCTGCAAGCCATACCTAGGGCAGGGACACATAACTTTCAGAGTTACTAAGGGGTCAAGGACCTCAAAGCCGAACTCATCATCCTGGAGCTAAACCCCAGACCCCCTAAGCCTGCCATGATCTTCAGCCCGAACCAGCAGCACTTGGCCTGGGAGAGCTCAGAGCTGACAACTGGGCCACCGGGCCCTGCCCACCCTGTTGGCAGCAGCCCGCCAGCTTCCGGAAGACAGTAGACTGCTGCTGCAGATGTGCTGGGCTGTCAGCTCCCAGGAAGGCCCAGCTGCTTTCTTATTAGACCAAGACTTTCCACCGGGGGCCACTGCACAGCAAGTCCACCATTTCCCGCCTAGGAGCGATGCCACCAGGACACCCTCCCTACACAGCTGGAGGGACACATTACCACATCCCTCCAGAAGCACCCCAGCCCTGAGATCCCAGCAAGCCTGAATCCCCCACTGCTCACCAGCTACACACACAGCTAAAACCAGACCTCCACATGGACACAAGGAGACCAGACTTAACCAGGAGAGGAGGGGAGAGACTCTTAGACCCAGGCAGCAGTTCTGAAGCTTAAGTCAGCACAAAATCACCTGGAGAACTTGCTAGGCTGCAGATGTCCAGCTCCTCATCCACCATATTGATTTAGGGGCCTGGGAGTCTGCATTTGACCAGCAATCCTGCTGCTTCTGGTGCATGTGATCCAGGGACCACAGTCTGAAAACCTCTGTTGGCAGCATCCCCTTCTCTATCCCCACTCCAGCCAGGCACCTTCAAAGTCGCAGGAGGAAGAAGCACAGTGGTCTCACCCACCCAACCTCTGCCAGCCCTGGGAGTGGGAGAGATGCATGCACTCATAGAAAGGCCTGGCCAAGCTCCCCACAGACAAAAGCTGGAGGGTTCACAGGCTACACTGGGAATCATAGGAGGAGCCCAGCTCTGGGCATCCAGTCATCCTAATATTTCTGGGGCAACACCTGACTGCTACATACAGTTCTAAGGACATGGGACACAGAGCTGAGGCAGCACCTGCCCCAACGAGCTCAGTGGTCAGAGACATGACAGAGAAATGATGTCAGTGCCAGGAAGGGACAGCCAAATCAGAATGGAGGGGGGTGTGTCATGGAAGCATTCCTGGAAGAAACCCCCAAGGTGAGTGGTAAAGAATGAAAAAGAGTAAAGGTTAGGCTGGATTTTAGCTGGGGCCAATGCAGGAGAATGGACATTCTTAAAAGCAGAACAAAACAGTACAGGAGTTCCTCAAAAACTCAACATAGAACTACCACCCAGAAATTCCACTTAAGTTTATACCCAAAAGAATTTAAGGGATCCCCAACCCACTCCAATTTACACACTCATGGCCACACCAGCATTATTCATAATAGCCAAGAAGTAGAAACAACCTAAGTATCCAACATCAGACAGATCAACAAAATGTAGTACATACAATTCAATGGAGTATTATTTGGCCAGAAACAAGAGAAAAATTCTGACATCTCCTACAATGTGGATGACCCTTTAAGGACATTTTCCAAGTGAGATAAGCCAGTCCCAAAAGGATAAATATTGTATGACTTCACTGACATGAGGTACCTAGGATGTTTAAATTCATAGAGACAAATTCAAAAGGCCAAGCCACGATGAGAGGAGAACAAAGAGTTTGTATTTGATGGGGACAGAGTTTCAGCTTGGGATGATTAAAAAAAGTTCTGGAGAGGGATGGTGTGGGTGGCCCAACAGTGTGACACTGTATGTATGCCAGTGAACAGTAAGTACACTTACAAATGGCTGAAATTAACAGTTTACATTAGGTATATGTTAACACACACACACAAGACCACTATACACAGAGCTTTCACCTGAAAAAGATGTATGGAAAACTGTTTCTTTAAAAATGACAGTAGAGCAAAGGCACAGGTTGCAGGGCGTCCCTGTCATCTGGGAAGAGCTGAGTCTCCCAGTGTAGCAGAGGGCCTGAGGTCTGCTACCTTTTTGGGAATAGTTAGTTGAAAACGAAGCAGGTGCCAGCTCCCGAAGGATCCCACGAGCTCTATTAAGGAATGTGGGCTCCAGCTCGAAGCCCTGGGGAGGCACGCAGGCTTCTGAGCAGGGAACAGCGTGACCATATTTGGGCTGGCAGACAAGCTGATCCCAGACTGCAACAGAGGGGATGGACTTAAAGGAGGAGGGGACGGGGTCCAAGGCCTTCAAGGTATCATCTAGGAGGGAGGTGACACAGGCCCACACTGACACCTCAGTACCAGAGGTTAAAAGTCAGAATGCAAAGAACCAAATGCCAAGTTGGAAGACCAGCAGAGACAGCTGTCTGTGATCCCAGATGATGGTAAGGACAAGATGAAGACCATAGGAGGAAGAGGTTTGCTGGAGCCAGGAGTGATAGCTACAGTTTGGGACACACCAAGAGGACGTTGGAGACATGGGAACATGGATGTAGTTTGCCTCCAGTGGTTTGAGGATTGGAAGCTTGATCCTAGTGTGGCACTGCTAAGAAGAGAGACCTAGTGAGGTTGTTGGAGGAGTGCCCTCAGAAGGAACTGGTGTAGTTCTTATGAGGCCCTGGTTAGTTAGTGCAAATGAGTTGTTATGAAAGAGAGAGCCTGGCCCCTTGATCTTTAGTTTCCTGTCTCACTATGTGATCTCTCCCTCCATGAAGAACCCAGACTCAGGTATTTTGTTATAGCAACAAATAATAGACTAATAAGCCCAACTAGGTTTGGTATTTAAGAGGGGGCTCATGGGTTTGGTATTTAAGTCTGGCTGAGATTAGGTCTAGACTCACTAGCATCAGCACAGGATGGCTGAAAGAACAGCTAAGATTGTCTGGTTTATGCACCAACACTAGACACTCAGGGCCCACCAGCCTTTACAGGATGGTGCAGGAGAGACATCCACAAGAAAGCTGGCATGTACATTCAAGTGGAGCTGTGCCTCAGACAGTTGAACAACCTGGTATCTGGGTAGCAGCCTGGGGTCACTTGGAGGCTCCTAGCTAGGTAGTAGTAGAACCAGGTTTGAGGCTGTTCTTGTCCACAGAATCCTGCCATTTTAGAAAAGGAATCTCAGAAACCATTCTTCAGAACTCCTCTTGTTGTAATTGAGGATGTTCACACAGAAAAAGACTTGTTTTGGACAAGTCCAAGACACCCATGTGGTCAGTGACAGAACCAAGATCTCCTAAGTCCTGTCTCTAACTTGGCTCTAGAGACCCAAAGTCAGTTACGATCACAAACAGAGCAGAAACAGAGGGACCAGGATAGAGCCCGAGGGAACCCACGTGCCCAGGGTCTGAAGCCACCTCACCTGAGATGACTTCCAGCAGCAGCATGAGTTTCAGACCATCCCGGAAGTCCTCCTCGATGTTCTCTATCTGCGTCCCCGCCTTCCGGAGGTGGGAGTTGCACCATGCCGTGAACGTCTGGCAAAGGGAAGAAGGGCAAGTGGTCAGTGTCCTCCCGAGTTCCTGATCTCTGAGGCCCTCAACGCTCTTCAGGACCCGTTTGCCTCATGCATCTTCCCCATTGCTCTAATATAAGGTGCTGGCAGTCTGTCGTTGTCATCCTCAGTGGACAAGCCATTTAGCACGGCCAGAGAGGGTGGATGCTCATGCAGCAGATCCCACAGAACCTCTCGGTATGGTTGTTCCAGAGACTCCACCACCTCATCAGCAAGCAGGGAGCTCTTCCCAGGACCACAGTCCAGGCACCCTATAGAGCTCACCACCAGTGGGCGCCCGGGGTGCATGAAGCAGTACCCACCCTTAACACGTCCCTTCCCACTCCTGCTCCAAAACACCATCCCAGCCGCGTCTAGAGGTTCCACAATTCCATTCTTAGCAATTTCCCCGTGGTAAATTAGTTTCAGTCTCCACGGTCCTAAGAGAGAATAAGCCAGAGGTGACTTATAAGTCCCATTGGTGCCTTTGGATAAATCAGATTATGAAAGCTTTTTCCATTTGGCTGCTGGCTAAGGGGAGGGATTCGTTTTCATTAGAGATTAGAGTTCAGAGGTACAGTGTCAGGATAAAGAAAAAGAAAAGGAAGTGGCCAATGTGTCCATTGAGTGTTACAAAAGCATGAGGAAGGTTTCCAGAAAGGGAATGGAAGGAGTTTAAACACAGAGGCCATCAACTTTGTCGCTACTCCTCTATGAAGCAAATTGTGATCAGGCAGACACCAACCAAGCTGCCCTGTGCCAACAGCACCACCTAGTGGTGGCTCATACAAGGAACATGGTGACTGCAAGATGGCAAGGAACAAAAGTGTGAGTTTCTATTTCAAGCATCCATCTAAAACTTGTGCCAAGCTCTCTCTCTCTCCAGCTGACACAGTCTACGCAACCAGAGAGAAGAGCACTCTTGCTTTAGACAACCCATTCTTTGGCGACTCCAGACTTCCCTGCACCAAATGGCACCATCAGCTACATGGCAAATGCCTGTGAGCTGATGTCCAGCTCACCCACAGCAAGCAGATCACTTATAAAAACCATAGCATGCTACCAATGTCCTCTCCTAGGGAAGGTCACAAGACTCATGCCCCCGCCCTGCCCTGGGGAAGTCCAAAGTGAAGCAATGCTGAGTGAATGGGGTAGGGGAGAGGCAAATGGCTGCCTAGCAATATCAGACAGCCTATGAGCAGGAAGGAGGGGGATGGAGAGATGGGAGAAGTAGGAAGCATTGAGACACACACCCCAACTTTGGGTCTCACCTTTAAATTATGTCTCACTAGCAACTTACCAACAAAGGATGCCTCTTTCTCCCTCATACTGTTGGCCAGTACACTCCCACGACAGGGAAAAGGGTGTGCTATCCCATCAGCACACAGATCAGATCAGATCGGGATGGGCAGAGGGTATATATGGATTCCTCAGCCTGGAATGTCCGGTATAGACCTTGATTGGCTAGCTCACACTTGTTCCAGGACTGGCTAAAGACGTCACCTCCTTCAGGAGGCCTGCCCGGGTTGGGTGCAGAGCCCACAGCATTCCACATTCACTTCATCACTGCCTGAACCCCATGGCATGATCACTGCTTAGACAATGGTAAGCCCCACGCCTCTAGACCAGGAGCTCCTGAAGGTAGAGAGTCAGTGGTCAGCTCTGAATCCTAGAGTGTCAGAGCAGAATCAGGACTATAGCAGTGAACAAAACAGCAAAAGTCTCAGACCTTGTGCAGCAGATATTCTAATGGTGGAAGGGTTGGGCAGCTGAGAGAATCTGATGCAAAGCTGGAGGGTCCTGCAGACTCAACTGCACCCTGCAGGTGATGCTGACTGGTGGGGGCAGGGAGCAATGGGACCAACAGTGCTCTCAGGGACCCTCAGCTCAGCGCAAAAGGCTGAAGCAAGGCAGCAAGCACTGGATCCCCTGCCCCTAGTGTTGGCTCTGCAAACGTGGTGGGGGAGGAGAGGGCCCTTAGCTTTCAGTTTCATTTTCTTATAACTTTTTTGTTGGTATTAGAAAATAGTAAAAAAAAAAAAAAAAAATGGTTGTGGTGGTACACATCTATAATCCTAGCACTCAGGAGGCTGAAGCACGAGGATCATGAGTTTGAGATCAGCCTGGCTAGATAGTGAGACCCTGTCCCAAATATATATTTTTTAAGTCTTTAAGTACAACTGACTTTGGTTTTGCACAATCTCCTCCAGCTGTCATCTGTCCATATGTCACTTTGGCCCAGTATTATCACACTGTATGTTCACATTGGGGCCAGGGAGGAGAGTGTCTTGTTTCATTGATCACCATCTGGTGCTCCCCAGCCCCTTGCTCTCATCACCCCTTCCAGGCCCACCTTCTACCCTTGGCTGAAGGCTTTTTACTGCCCCGCCCCAGCAATTCAAAGGGACAGAGAGCTGCAGGTCCCATGTGGCCAGGGTCCTGGTGGGAGCCCAGCAGGGGCTGTGAAACCTCTCTGTTTACTAACCTGGTCTTGAGGAGGGGTGGGGTAAGAGGAAGGAAGAAGAGGCCGATTTGTTTTGTAAGAAGACACTGCTTAAGAAAGAGGCAGATGCTGTTGAAAGTAGCCAGCCCCATTTCCTGGGGAAGCTGCTGGAGCCAAAACCACACCTGTGTTTGCTCAGGTCTCCTGGACAAAGCCTGCGGCTGAGCCTCTGAAGGAAGTTTCACTGAAGTCCCAGCCCCCAGGCCTTCGTCCCTGGGCCCCCCATAGCCCTGAGTACCTCCCAAATATTAAAGTTCCCCTTAACAAACAAGCCCAGGCATGCGGGGGGAGGGGAATGGGAGTTGCTCAATGGGTAATGTCCACCATTTGCTGGCTGTGTGACCTCCTGATTAACCTCCCTAAACTTCAGTTCTGTCAGCAGTAAAACGGGGACAGTCAGCATTTCTAAAGTCAAGAAGATTAACAAAACTATTGACAAAGGGCCTGTCATTTAGTAAGTGCTCAATTAACAAGAAAAGACAAGCGCCCCTAAACATGTTGAGAGCCAGGCCTGGGAGTATTGGTCCCCAGTACTCCAACCCCATAACCCATCCCTGCCTATAGCCACCAACTTGCCTGTCAAGGTCACACCTCTCCAGATGCTGTTCTGAGAACTCTGGAACTGATGTGTGGCAAGAAAGGCTAAAGTTGTAGCGTATGCAGAAAAGCGGTGACTTTGACAGTCATTGTCAGCACTCCCAGCATGGGGACTAACTGAGGGCTGCAAGGGGGGAAGAGGGCTGCCCCGGCCTCCTCCCACACCACACACCTATGATCGCCACCCCAGCGATCCAGCATGGAAGAAAAGCCACAAGCTACACTCATTGGCTGAGACCCTTGGTCCCACAGCCTTTCACACGGACGCCCAGCCTGGTGGGCAGGGCTAGTGCTACTCCAGAAGGCTGAGGGTCCAGCCCCACTCACAAAAAGGGCAAGGGACCATAGGACCTCCTGATTCCAGCCAGGCCCTGCTCTGACTCTCGTTGGCCCCAAGTCTTCTTCAGTCCCCTCTGGGGCCCATGCCTGGACTCACAGCAGGCCCAACATGAAGACAGGAGGAGACAGGGATGCTGCTGGTGTCAGGAAACATGCTAGGACAAGGACCACGCTGGGACATGTTCACAGAACTGCAGCCAGGGCCAGCTCCCTTTTATTTTTTTGGATATGGTCTTGTACTTTTTGCCTGGGCCAGCCTCAGACTAGGATCTTCCTACCTGTGCCTTCCACATAGCTGGGATTATAGGTATGTGGCACCAAGCCCAGCCCTGCCAGCTCCTTTCTGTACTTCACTCACTTCTGGTTCAGCTACTGTCCTCTGAGGGTCTTGCACATGAAGGGAGGAGTGGGCAGAACCTGGCCCTGTTCAACCTCTTGCTACCTTGACATGTTGCCTACGTCTAGTGGTCCAAAGGTGGCTTGAGGAAGTAAAGAGTGTCCTCATCCAGCACTGTAGCTCAGGGTTGCAAAGAGGGGCTCCAGCCCAAGAAGGGATCAGCCACAGAGAGAGAGAAGTACCGTGTGTCCCTTCTCCACAGACCAGTCTTCTTTTCAGATTCCTCTACCATATCCCCAACTCTATCATTAACAACTCTCAATGAAGGACAGCCTCCCAGCTCAGAGATACCAGAAGGTGCCTTTAAGCCACAGAGGCCGATGTGAGCCTCAATTTTCACATCTATTAAAAAAAAAGGGGGGGGGGCGGACCAGACCATCTTCCAGGCATGACAGAGGTAAAGATTAAATGAGAGACTACTAAAATTGTAACATTGTTAATTTATATTAGCAATGACAACATTTAAGTGTGCATGATCTTAGACCCTAAAAGGATGCATGAATAATGACACCCAGCAGGGACGTGGGATAGGAAGGTTACCTCGTACCAAGGAGCTGAGCCACTGAAGTCAAGATTCATTTATAGGCTTGACCTTGATAGGAGGAAGGAGGAGTAAAACAGGAGACCCTGAAGCACAGGAAGGTCACAGGCTTGCACAGGATCAGGTAGCAGAACAGTCTAGGCTAGAGGCCTGAGTGGTACAGCACCTGCCTAGTAAGTGCAAGGCCCTGAGTTCAAACTCTCGTACTGCAAAAAAATAGTCCAACGGACTGAAAGGATGTGATCAATATGAAGACACTTATGTGCAGGCCAGGTCTGGCACTGGGTAAGAGACCTGACTGCTCTCCTCAGAGCCCACAGCAGGATGACAGCAACTGGATGAGGGTGATAATGGCACCTATCCAGGGAGCTGCTGGAAAACTAATGATCCACTTAACACAGTGATAAGGGGCAGGGACCAGAGTGGCTCCCCGATGATAGCTTCCTACTGTTACTGTCAGCACAAGAGTCAGGGCTGCGATGAAGGTGAGATGACAGGTTCGTGCTGTGCACAGACTTCATTAAAGGTGTTAGAACTGGAAGAGATGACAGGCAGCCCTCAGGTCAAACCCTTACCTCACAGCTGAAGACACATGGACCAGAGAGGGTGAGTGGTTTTACCAAGACCACACAGCTGGGTATGGTCACAACCATGCCCCTAACTCCAATCCCTCACACTTTTTGCTCTCCAGGGTGACATTGGATTTCAGGTGCAGGTGTGGAGGGTGCTGGGAGAGAACAGCTGAACCAAGGCCAAGATGTTAAATGTCCAAACAGGTGGCCTGACTCTCATAGGGTGTCACTGTAAACAGGTCACTGTTACATGAAAACAACAACCAGATGGACAGGAAGTTGAGCTGATGGAAGGACAGTTGAGTAGACATGGATGTCAGCCTCTCTGGCAGTGAGAGGTCAGGGAGGCAGAGCCTGGGG